TTATCTCACAAACATTTCTGTCAAATTTTACAAACTTTTATAAAAATTTTAAACATTTTGTTATCTCTGGTAAAAAGCCTGTATGTAAAATCTGACTCAATACTAATATTAATTTTTCAGCTTTTGGTTAACTGACCTTCACTTCACTGAATTTTGAGACTCTGTCATAAGGAGTTCATTTACTTTTAAATGAATTTTTACCCCATTTACTTTATTAATTATGTAAACAGTAGAGCTCTCCTAATTAAATATCCAAGATGCACAAGAAAAAATCGCATTTACAGATTCATGAACCGTTCAACTCGGACATTGATAAATCAAGGATTGAAATATTCATTGAAGCACTTGGTACTAGCAAGCAAAAATTCTCACGAAGCACCTTATTAATAATGTCTCATATGGGAATTATCTATCTGTTGTATAGTGATCTTTTACACTTATTGAACACTGTGAGTCCCATAAAAACTAACATAATCTTCTATCTCTTTTTTTGTGGATTTTTTAAAAAGAATTTTATGAATTTTGGTTTCACTGTTAATACCAAATGGATGTACTAAATATAATCTACTTCAAGCTTCATAAAGCTTGTTTTCCTTTTCATTGGAATTATTATTTTTATTATTATTATTTGTTTTGATTTAAATAAAAAAGCAATTTAAAATTACAGTCTGTATTGGTTTTCCCCCTTGAATTAGTCCCGTATCAATGTACACTTATGGTTTCATCTAGCACATTGATGCACACGTGCAAAAAGTCTTCTTTCTCTCTCTTTCGTCTCACGTTACCAATGGAGTACAGTACTCTGCCCCTACAACAATATGATTTAAGATGTGGGTGGTGAGTACGTGTAATACAATAGCTTATTTCATGAACAATTGCTGAGAAAAACGTAGGCCTTCAGAAAAAAGTAAAAATATAAATAGTACACACTTGGACGCTGAAGAAAACCTTTACCAATCACAATCTTGAACGCTAGTAATTTTTTTTTTCCAAGCAATAAGTATACTTATGTTTTCACCTCACTTATTGGTCAGTGGTTCTACGACCAATTTTAAATTCAAACTGGCACGAACTATGAACAAATTATTTTTTTGTATAAGTAAAAAAATAAGAACTGTATAAGTAAAAATTCTTATGTACTAAATCAACATAGTATTGTGTCATGACTGCACGCTGTCGTTACTCTTCTACACACTGATATCATTTCAAACAAACTTACTTCAAAAACGTTGTTATCTTTGCAGGAATAAGTTTTTTCTAGAAGTCTGTACAAACGTCCACATCGTCTTTTTTCATGTATACCCACACGTACAGTTTTTCTGCTCCCGAATGCTTGTCTCGTCGTACATCTTACTCTATCTAGCAGGGCTCTGGTGAGAAACCAAAGGAAGAGCCGATATATCAGCGTTTTTTACGTCATAGCGTGGTACTCCTATAAAAATTGCGATACTTTTCGTTTTAAGATGTACAAAACTACGTAAATTACTTTGGTACACGTTCCTCTCACATCCATTTGTTGGTACTCACAGGAAAAGGATAGTTATTATGTACTTACTTGCTACACGATAAGAGAAGTTTTTATCATTTCTTTAACCACCTACGATATACCTTATGCAACTTTACAACTTACGACATTAAAAAAATGTACAGTTAGTTGAAGAAACTAAATTTATAATTTTTTACATGTGGAACTACGATTTTCCAACAGTACAATAACGGCTATAACATCAAATTAATCCTTTGACTAGTTTTTAAAATTGGTATCAGTCGTTTGCAACTTAAAATTGAAATGTTTACCCTCCTAATTTTAAAACTTAACAATGTACATACACACCCTTCACAGCTCCGTCCATGAGAGAACTCACCGAGAGAGAAATCATTTTTCTCATTCTTCGTGTTTGTACTCAACTTGGGACACTATACTCCTACTGCTGAAAAATATTAAATAGCAGTGAGTGCAACTGTAAGCTCACCTGACACCTCACACGTATAAAAAGTACAACTATAGCTTGGTAGTCTGATTACCTGTAAAAAAAAAAAAAAAAAAAAAAAAGTCGTATTTCGCCTTTCTGACGTAGCACACACGAGCAGCCACGAGCAGACAAATCCTCCCTCTTTATCTCAGTTCACGTACCAGAGCTGTCTGCTGAGGAGGACTTAAACCCTAGAATAAACACTTATTCATTCGGTTTTTTTTTCATTAATGTTTATTCCCTCTCCTTATTTATTCACTTATTCATTTATGTAGGCTCTCCGTGGGATCTCCTTTGAGAGATTTATTGTCTGTTGACACCAGCTCACTCTTGTCAGTGGTTTGCACGTATATCCACGCCGGAGCTGGCAATACACATACAGACCTGTATTTTATTTTCGAGTAAATAAATGATCGTGTTATTTATGGTGGCCACCGTACGACCGGAAAACACTTTATGCTTGTTTATACGTTTGTATCCAAGCAACGGGTAGGTGTTGGCGACTCATTATCGCGATCGATTCACGTCGTGAATTATTGATTTTCGAGTGTCAAATGTTGTTTCTTTGCACAACAAAAGTGTTTGTCAGAATGAAGCGTCCGATCCGATTTCCTTTCCACTACGACTCAGATCTATTATGATAAGTGTACTTACTGCTGATTACTTAAGAACCTATTTCTGACCCAGCTTTTACTAGTTTTTTTTTTTTTTTTTTTTTCACGTTAAACACTACGTAAAAAAAGTGATTGAGCATAGGTATTAGGGACACAATTGGAAAAAGGTACTGTATATGATACGTAACCGATGTTATCGACTATCTCCACCGTTAAATAACATACACCATCACCGTGTACACAAGGTGACGCAAAAGACTTCACAGACTAGCAACCTTCGATGGGTTTCGTGGTGTTTTTAGTTAATGTATTCTTAAATCTTCAACATTAAATGAGATTGAACTTCGTATGACAAGGTGGTGTAGTTGTGATATTTTTTTTTTCTGTTTCACGTTTGACTGAAAAAAATAGTGGCGTGAAAGTAAAGAGTAACGAAAACTGAACGAGATTTGTTAGATAATCAACGCTTAATCTTCACCATCAATGTAAAGTCCCTGCATAGTTTGTGTATGTACAGTATAATTTACTTACGTTACGTTTTTTAAAGTAAAACGCGAAACAGAGAGAAGAGAAAATGTTTCGAGATTGATGCAAATGAAAAATCGAAGTGACAGGGAGACAGTTTGATCGTATCGCACACTTTGCTCGGCCAACTTTTCTGGGAGTAAGAGTCTTTTCTCTGTGAATTTCGCCTTCCCGGAATCGACCCGATCCTCCGAGGGAAACGAGCGACAAGTGCTAGAGATGGAACGATAGGATAGGCATCTTGGGTCATGAAAAATGTAGGCCTGGTAACCCCCCCCCCCCTTCCATGACAAGATTTTTGACAATTCCTTCTTGGTTTTTTTGAATCAATTAATTACCACAAAAAAAGTCCTCACGTAGCATCCCTGTGACGTCAAGTTCAGAATTATTGTATGGATTTTTTTTTATTTTTAAATTTTTATTCTTCCCTTTACATACCAATATTTAGACGCTTTCTTCCTCCTTCTTTGTTTCTAAGGGGTAAAAACTTGGCACCATTTTTTGTTTACAGACGATTGAAAATCCCAATCAGCACGAAAAAAAACATAATCAAATTCTAACAACTCAGACGGTAAAAAAATTCAGGAAGGCAAGAAACGTAAGAATCCTCCTCGATTCTATTCCGACCAGATAGACGGTTAGGAAGAGATTAAGTGGAATCAGCCACGGAACAGATGATGGATCAATTTTCCTCCGAGACAACGGTGGCTCCTTTTTGTACCTCCTTGCAAACATTAGGTAAGGGCCACTGCTTCCGTGAATGCCAATGGAGTGTCGTCGAATCAAGTCGAGAGCGAGTGGATCGTTAGGAGGACGTATTACGGATCGTCGTGCGTGTACCCATTGGTTTACGAGACACGTAGATAAAAAATTAATGGCGTAGCTTCCACGAATCCATTAAACGCGATGGGTGTGCGAACACGTACTCTTGGAATAACGATGATAATCAATGGGTGTTTTTTTTCAGCGCAAAATTTTTTTTGGTCATGCAAAACAGCAGAGTCGTTAAGGTGTGGCAAAAGGCTCTATCAGTCGCGTCTTGTGCAAATGTTGTTCATCCGAAAAAAGTATATCAACATAAGTTCAAGATCGATACGACTTTATTGGTACCAAAGTGCAGAATACACCCCCACATTCGAAAACAGTCTAGGGCTTGCTTATCAGATATCGTATCATCGATCGAACGGAATATTGAAAACAGTCACATACGTCGGTCACGCAACGTGTACATTCACTACATCCCCTGCGTACACTTTGACCCGCCAGCAGATACCTTCGATCGTATCATTGAGGTTCTGATGAAAAATGGATGTCCTATTCCCTTACCACGTGTTTTTTGTCCTTCATCGCCTTATCTCAACGAATTAGTTGTCTCTGCAACAAAAAAAAAAAAAAAAAAAGTAACAGATTACGCTAAATTATTTTATTTTCGGTGTATATGTTAAGTCCTCTGCTACTAGTTGGCTCGTAATTCACGGTTGCACAACAACGCGGTCATTATCGAATCGATCACCAATTAAAGACAGAGTGCACATGTATGCATGACGTGGTGCTCAGCCAAACAAAGCAACTCAGCGAAAAACTCCGGTTCGCCTGTTTCAGATAAATAGGGCCGGCCACGAGTACACCGATAGTCCATTAACGTCGCTGACCGCATCCCTCCGAAATCAAGCACCGGGCCAATCAGCGGCAGCAGAGCCATACACGGCGAGGGAGAGCCCATCGATTTCCTCGAAAAGCCATGACGCCGGTTCCACCGTTGTCATCGCCGGGGGAGTGGATAGTCGCCAGCGAAATGCCAGAGTCGGGCAGAAGCTTGGCAGACGAGGGGTGCTCTACGTCGACCGCCCGGCCAAGGATCCGCGCAAGGCCGTCGCTCCGACTGGACACTCGTTGAGCTCGCCAGTTTTGAGCTCAAGGAGAAACCACGAAGGGGTGAGTTTAATAGGCTTATGCCCTTTTGTTGGAATGTTCATGGTGTTTATATGTATCATTTCTTACACATTTAACTAATTGTGATTTGTTTAAGGGAATTGGTGACCAAGTCGATTTGTGATTGAGGTAGGGACTTATTTGAAATTTCAAATAGATGACCGTTGTGGGTCTTATGGTGTAAGCCTTGAAAATTTACTATTTGTGCACATGTAGCATAGGAACCGTTTCACTTCTCCGGACTTTTGTAAAAAAACTTTGTTATGGAAATGCCTTGAAAATCTATAGTTTTCTTTTTCGACGTCATTTCTAATTGTGTATTAAAATTGCAGATTTTTTGACAAGGCCATTGTAGATTTTTTTTTTTTTTTATGTTATTTAACACGCTTCTAGTACATTAATATTATAATGAATTTGTTCTCAAGTTTTTACATTTCATCGTAATTTAAAAATGTTTCCTTTAGTTTCTATAATTAAAAAGTCTTAAAGGATATTTTAGTGTAAATAGCAGTTGATTACCAACACTCACTTTAAAAGTTATTGACTTAGCATTGAATGAAATAGGTTAAGAAAGGCTGGAGGTCACCAACTTCCTTAATGTAGTTTTCAACACTCATTTACTGCAAATGAGTTTTTCAAATAGTTTTTAATTATAAGCGAATATTTAAAATTCGAAACGGTAATGTTCGAGGCGCTTCAGACCAGATCATCCACAAAGTTTTACAAAATGTCTGTCTACGTGCATGTGCACGTGAGCTTAAGATGCCAAGTTAACGTTGACTTTGATTAATTTGGAATATTGACTCAAGCGCTTCAGGCATACCTTAAATCTTTCGCGGCAGTTAGCTTGTTTTCACCACATACTTGAAATTCTCCCCACACAACAACGAGAGACTGACAACGTGTGTGAGTCTTGATGAAAAATATTAAAGTCGTTCAAGAATTTCTAAGACTTTGAAATCTACGATTAAGTTACAAAGTCCCAAATTTTCGCAATAATTTTCAAATAATTTTCAACGACGGAAAGTTGGTCAATGATTTTCGATGATACTTTCTCAGTTTTGGAAAAAGGTGCTATCTCAATGATTCATGATACTGAAAAATTTTACCTTTTTTTTACAAAGTAGAAATTCCTTTTTTTTCATAGAACCATGATGGTACCTTTTATATTCGCAAAAAGCCTATAACTGGTACTATTTTCAACGCAAAATTAAGACCTTCTTAAGCGTAAATTTGAAGCAACACCTGACTCCTTCCGAGTGACAGGTAGGAAACTTATAAATATTTAAAAATATCTTAAAGACTTAAAATACTTGAAATGACTCCAAGCCAATGAAAAATGATTCCTGAAATAAATTTTCATTAATTTTCACAAGTCGTTACCTGTTGTAAGGACGGATGCTCCAAATCTCTTATTCCTAAAAGCCCACGATCGATAGCTGGCACGCGTTACGAACCCGAGAAGTAGTGAGAGACATCAGCGAGCAAAGTGCTCTTTTTTTTTCACCCCCAACAGCCCGAGAAACACAAATTCGTCCTACGAACAGTAGCGGAAGAAAAAAGAGGAGGAGAAACGAAGTATAAAACAGCAAAGTGGATAAATCGATCGCCAGCGTGGAGCTGCAACAGCAGAGGCAACGGAGCGAGTGGGGCGCTGTGAGGCGGGCTATTATGCAAAACAACCGGAACCTGCTCGACGAGGGTGGCAACCCTCTGAAGGAGCTGACCCACGCGAACCTGAACGAGCCGCTCAAGCAGCACAATGCCAACGCAGTCAAACTCGTGCAGACCGGTGAGTGTCGCCAAACCCTGTACTATCTGCCATTCGACACTACACTCGTTTATGCCACTACTGCTCTGTGTGTGTGTGTGCGTGTGTGTGTGTATGAGACAGGTACCTGTAGCGGTGCCCCGACATGTGGAAGCACAGGTGAAACGTGTATTGATTGCTAGTGGTTCGAGAGAACCGAGAGAGCGTGCGGTTCTTGAACTTTTGCGAACGCCGAACTCGTAATGATCGAGCCCTCGTGGATAATGATTGAGGCCTCGAGTGCTTCGGGATGGCCGGGCAAATTGAGCGGTTGAGTTTATTTGGGGTTGAAATGACGTTCAAGGACTTGGGTTTCAAAACTGTAGATGCGCTTGTGTAACTAACATATTATCACCTTTTTTATTCGATGATCCTTTGTGTTGTATGTATTGATTTTCCCTATGGTTTGTTGCATCAAAAAAGTTGACAGCTCCATAATTTGCAAGAGAACGCAGAGATGCTCAATCTACAATTGATTTTTTTGCAGTTTAAACCCAATAATTATCGTAGTAGTCCATTTACCTGGTGTTTCATACATGTAATTCTGTAGTTCTGGTAAATAGCATTGGATGACTTAATATTTATAATCAATAATGGTAATTCAGAAATTTTCAAAACAATATTACTATCCAAATAAAGCCATGCTGGAGTGGAATTTTCTTAAGATGAAAAAAATTGAACTGTAAGATTTCAGGGTGAATTAATCAATGACGTCACTATTTCCACAGTTACAATGATTTCTTTCGTCGCAAAATCAATAACAAAGTGATTAAATCTGTTTTCTTAACTACGTTTCATTGATTACTTTGCACATTTTTACAACTCAATTTATTTATGACATACAATGTATGTAGCTCAAAATGTCTTGGTTACTGTTGTCTTCATCTGTTTAAACTGATATATACGTTTGAACAGCATTTATTACTTATGGGTACAGAAATATAAATTAAAACAGTAAGGGTTAATATTTTGCCTTGGATATTGTTTTTAGTCACTACCTCCAACTCCCCCAGTTGAGATTGCTATTGCAAAAATAATATTCTTCGCAAGGTTTTGTGTTTATAAAAACTTTTGTGGAAGAAACTTTATTCAGGACGCGAAAAAAAAACATCATTATACGTATGCACTGACCAGACTCGGATTTTGTTTTTGCGCAACCTGAGAAAACTTCTTCAATAATAACAAAGCTGAGCATTGACCCAGGCTTCTTGCAAAATGAGTCGTGAAACTAGGCCATTCTATGGTGTCACTGGTCTATAAACAGGAACAAAAAAGAAAGCTTTTTCTTTTAATATTTTGTTATGTTAAAAAAAGGTATAAACGAATAATAAAAGTATAAAAGAAAGGTATAACTCCTTTGTTGGTCCAGATTCCATCTACAATAATAATGAGTCTATTACTTTTAACAGTAATGAGAAAAAAATGGTCAGTCGAATGCGACATACTTTGATGCATGTTCTTTTGAGTAACTTATCATGTTAAGTTCTTAGTCTAAACTATCTCCAGATATATTACAGCTACTATGAAAAAATATCAATACCAGTTTCATTAAATAATTGTTCTTTGCTATTCACAACTGATGTAGTGACGTTTTCTCACCAGACATATTATAATACAACACCTAATAGCAGTTTATACGTGTATATACATGAATAAGTAATATGTATCTATATATAGTCAGCCAAAATATTTATTTTGAATAGTTATCATGTTACTTATTTCACTACAATATGAACAATTATTATATAGTGTCATTTCCTTACCGGACACCATATAATACAGTACCTTATAATAGCAGTTGCATACGTGTATACACATGAATAAGTAGTAAGTGCCTACGTATAGTCAGACAAAACATTCATCTTCAATAGTTCTTATGTTACTTACTTCACTACGATATGAACAATTATTATGTAGTACCGTTTTCTCACCATATAATACAATACATATTTCGTTTATACGTGTATAACAAGTATTGAACTTTTAACAAAACGATGGTTTCGAAAAACTGCTGAGTATCTGTTAGAGAAGACATAGCGTTCAAAACATTATATTTGTGCTTACACACCTAAAGATATTTTATTGTTTTGAATACTTTTATAATAAGTAGTATGTGTCTACATACGGTCAGACAAAGCATTTATTTTAAATAAAGTAAATGCTCTGTCTGACTATACATAGATACATACTACTTATGATAAAACTATGCCATTAGTTTTTTTTTCTGTACGTGTTATTTAGTAAAAACTGATTTTACAACTTTTTAAAGGTTGAACAAGCTGTAAGCCTTATACTAATATCAAGGTGGTTCGATTTCGAGTATACGTTTTTACGATTATTAAAACCATCTTCTGATCCAAGTTTTAAAACAAGCTCATCGGAAACTATTTTAAAAAAGCGCTTAAAGCGCACCCAACGCTTTTAGTAGCCATCTGAAAAACTTATTACCTTAACAGACGTGCTCTTTCCAGCGAATTCGCTTTTCAGCCGCTAATTTTTCAGTCACGTGCGAATATTGCAGTAGCCAGCGAATCCTCACCAAAACTCTGCAACAACTACGAAGTCTAGCCAACATTGCTCGCTTACTCGTTATAAAATTCATTGCGTACAGCTCCAGAGTTTGCAGTATACTCTCTTTTCGCCATACGTCGAGTACTTTTAAATTATTTGCAGGGCAAATTTAATGAGATATCCATTCTGACCTCCTCCCTCTGCTGACCCTTGCTTTCTTGAAGTCTCAAGAATTCCCCACGGTGATTGTGTTAGTTTGTGCATTATACCTCTCATTGGAGCTTTCCTGAGGCCCCACTGTGATTAAGGTAATTTAAAGTTGCCCGAGTGTAATTGGCACGGCTTCTTCTTTTTCTTGCAACTAATCGTCTTTTTATCTTTTTCTTCCTCTACTTCTTCCGTCGTTGAGGGAAGAATAATATAAAGGAAAGGGAAGATTACTCTGGCCACCTCCACTTTTTTCTGCCTCTCGATTTGATTTCTTTGCTTGCACACGTTCTTGTCAGTTTTCATCGCCTTATTTTCCAGCTTGTGGTAACCCTCGAATATTTTTCAAATATGATTCAAATGATTTTAAACCAGGACTTTAACATTTTTTTTTTTTTTTTTTTTTTAATATTTTACACGCATTTAATCATATTTTTATTTGACATTTTATTTTGATTAAGATAAATTAAATTAAAAATGCGTCATTTAAGTTTATTACTAATTATTTTATGTGCTCCCAGTTAAAATTGGAAAAGTAGGAAGTAACAAAATAATTTTTCATAAGCCCCTAATTCTAAATGAAGTATAAAACTGGTATGAAAAAAATTTTTTTCAATCAGCATAATCTTCTATACAAAGCTTTGTATTGGTCACAGATGAAACTGTAATAAATAAAAAGGTTTGAAAATTTTTCGTTGGAAGGGTTTTTAATCTGTAACAACCCTAATACAGACCAAAATAAGTTGAATAAGGACTCTACAGGCTTAAACACCTAGAGGTATAGCGCTTATTACAAATACATTACTGGTTGTAGTCATACGTTCAACAGACTCTATTTAACGAGCTACTTACTATTTCTCCCACAAACGTGAAAAAACCTGTTTACAATTAAATTTCACTGTGAAACTATTACTTATGTCGTAAATATGTACACATGTTATGAACCTTTCAATTTTTTCCATGGTCTTTGTTTTCTAAATATGCAGATCAATCAATATTAGCTCCTAAAATTCAATCGTTTACTAATATATGCTATAAGAACTGCCATGGTAAGGAATTGAGATTTTTTATTAGACTTTTTCTACAGGTTTTGTGTATTAAAGTTAATTTTTTTAAGTGTATGGCATTGAAATCCTAATAATGCATTGCAAAGAATTGCTCGTAATTGTACAATATTATTGTATTTTATGTAATAAAATGTGATGCTATTCAACTGAATCTAGACTCAGAATAATATCCCTTCAGATTGTCTTTTAAAGTATACCTATTAGAGAATTTATTAATTAACTTAGACATACAAAATTTAATTATTAATAAAGCAATACAAAATAAAAAAAAAGGTTTTCAATTTAATACTCTGACCTTTGGCAAATTAACCCATATGCACAAATAGCCATGGAGATGGACCCTTAAGTGGATTACACCAACTTTACTTGGCTCATCGCTAAAAGCGCTTTACACAGAAAAAATTGAATTGTCACCTATTATACGTTACACGCACGGTCATGAAGCATCACAGTAAAAAAAAATCTTTAAATATTATGAAAATTAATGAACATTGATTATAATCCTGTACACGTAAATATTAGTGGATTCTTAAGTTTTGTCTTTCATTGCTTATAATAATAAACAAAAAGCATGAAAAAAGGGCTAAAAGCGTTATAATTCATTAAGTAAATATAAACTGCAACAGTTTAATGGATTTTTGTTAGGGCTAATATATTTAAATTTTGTAAGACTGTGGATGGAAATTAAAAGACATCTTTAATGCTACACTTTCAGATAAAAAAACACTGATTTGAAACGCATAAAACCAACGGAGAATAAAACGCGCTCGTTAAACCAAATGCCGAGTCACTTTGAGGGTATTAAAATGTTCACTGGAAACTCGTCCACGAAATAAAAGCCAGAAAAAGAGGATGGCACGTAAAAAAAAAAAAAAAAAAAAAAAAACTGGACTGGGAGGTGGGAAAAAGAGAGGCCAAGTGGTGTAAGCTCGGTGTTCCAAAATAATGAATTGACAAATGGCCTCGCAATCGGCTGCGCTCGTTCTCGTAACGTGCACTGGAAGCTGTTATACATGTGTGTATGTATACGCGGCACGTAGCTCCGAAGCGGCAGGATTAATAGCTTTTTTGACCCCTCGGAGAACTCTCTGGGGAAAATTAACATCCCCGCGCGTGGTAGTCCTCGTATCGTCCGATAGCTCGGTTGGGCAGCGGGTACACACCTACATGTGACTTATTACTTTTGCCCACTCGACT